CTCTGTCTGGTGAATCCTCTCATCCCCACACTTCTGGCCTGCACCCCAGCTCTTGTAAGTATAAATAAATAAGTAAATAAAATCTTAAAAAAAGAGAATAGCAGTCTCAGGGACTTGCCCCTGGCAGCTCTCACTTCAAAAGCACCAAACAAACAAGGTGGAACCCCCTACCAGCTTTACCCTCCAGCAGTGGAGGGCCCCTTATTTCACATCTGGCACATAGTGGAGGGGGAGTGGTAAGGTCTGACAGGAGTAAGCTATCGCCCTCTCTACAAAAGTACAGTGAGATCAGCCAGGGTTCACGCCTACCCAGACTCACTTGGGGCCGCACTCCTTGCTTCCCTTTCTACCCAGGGATCTATTATTCTCATTTTCTGTTTCTATCAAATATACAATAAAGTCAAAACTTGGCTATCCCCTCTGATTAGAGCGGGAACCGGTCTACTATATATAGATTCCGAGCCACTCTCTAATGCAACATGGAGAAGACAGAGTGAATCAGTGCAGACTGGGGAAATGCCTTGCCCGTGAGGGTTGACGTGAGGGCCAGGGCTAGATAACCACGCATGTGTTTGATGACCCAGCTGTTCACCGAGCGGCGGCTGTGTGCCTGGACAGCGCAGTGCTGAGGAGGCAGAGTGACCAGTGTAGTTATGTGTAAGGGTAAGAGCACGGGATTTTGCTAGCTGTCCATCCGCATTCGCATCACCCTGGTTCTAGCTGTCTGGAAGCTCATAGCTCAGGGCTAAATGTAGGACTAAGGCACTCAGAAGAAGTTTGGCAGTTTCTGATGAAGCTAAACATGAACTACCAAGCCCACTGCAAGGTATTTACCCAAATGAAATAAAAACACCTGCACTTAAATATTTATGGCAGCTTTATTAATAATCTCTCCAGACTGGAGACAATCCAGGTGTCTCTTAGCTGGGATCAGACGAGCACAGATAGTGCGGCCACGTAGCAGGTGCTGCTCAGTGAGCAGAAGAATGTGGTGAAGTGCACAACGATAGGTTAAATCTAAATCCATTATTCTAAGGGAAAGAAACCAGTTTCAAGACTCCCGCTCTATGCTTTTACCAGACTCTTGCACCAGGGAGGAATCAGGGGGACTGCAAGTCCATGTATAAACCCTCCAAAACTTTCCTAGTAATAAAGTAGCCAGAGTCTTGACTGACACATACTTTTCACTACATGCTTTATACACTGTATTCTTATGGTAACAGTGTTGCCGGCAGGAAAAGGGAAGGCTCCAGGTTCCCTGCCCCACCCAAAGGAGGGTGGGGCTGAGTCGGGAGGTGGAGAAGCTGGAGAGGAGACTGGAGAGAAGGAAGCAGGGTGAAGAGCCAGGGAGAACTGAGGGAGACACATGGAGCCGAGCGATGAGTGAAGAAGCGGCTCTTGTTTCTTGGTCTTGGACTGGCTGAAACAGATGTGGGTGGAAGACCAGTGGGGAAGTGACTGGCAGCGTTTATCTTGATTTTGATTTTGCTCTCTTCCTCCCAGACTTCTCTGGCCATTTCTGACCCTTTCCTATGGGTCCCCGCAGGGAGGTGTTTTAGACTGTGGTGGGCTTTCAGGCCTTGCTCTGGGGCAATCCTGCTTGGGTGCACTCTTACCCACGAGGGGATGGGTACCTTTGGGTGTTTGACTTAAAAACTATACTTTTTTTTTTTTCTGTATTGCACACTCATTATCTTAAAGTTCCTTTCCATTAAAGGTTTTGTATGTTATATCTTGATGGGGTGGATGGCAGAACCTATTTAGAACAGGTAGGTTTGGGGGTCCTGGGGTGCCCCTCTCCCTGCCCTGTAACATTAAAACACACTGAAAAAAAATGATATTAAGGCATTTACAAGTAGGTCACTGTAAAGTCTGTCATCTTCATGTTGAATAAGCTGAGGAGGAGAAGGAAAGAGGGTTGGAAATAATCTACATACAATGACCCACGTTACTCAAATCCATGTCCTTCCAGGGTCAACTGTATATTTATAGGACATTACAAGGCAAAACTCTAAGGCCAGAAAACAGATCAGTAGTTTCAGCGGCTAGGAGTGGGATCAGGCTAAGTACAAAGGGCCATTGGGGGATCTCCTTTAATTTTTTTTAAAAGATTTATTTATTCATACAGAACCAGGGTACAGGCTAGAGGTGCAGGGGTGGTGAGAGGCTTCACCAGAGGCAGAGCGGGGAGCAGAACAGGCAGATCGATGAAATGCACTGTGAGTCAGGAGAGGTCTGTGAGTCAGGAGAGGTCTGCCCGTCATGTAGATCACTCCCTGATGGAACTGGTGCTGAAGCGGCTGCAGCGAGCTTCATGGTGCTGTGCGTTAATAAACCCGTTGTGGCCCTGGGGAGGGCCTGTACCGGGGGACTTCTCTGGTCATGGGATTATTCTGTACCTTGACTTTGGTGGTAATTACACACACCTGTGTGCATTTGTCAAAAGTGGCTGAACTGCACACGAAAATTGCTAAATTTTACTGTATGTAAATTATATTTTAATTATATATAATTACAGGCACAGGTGGTACAGGATCAGAGAGCAGGCACGACAAACTGGTTAGGGACAGGCTCCGCAGTCAGCCTGGGATAGGCAGTTTCTGCTGAGGTGTGGAGAAGGTGAGCACCCTCGGGCATCTGGTTGACTTTCTGTGTGATCTATAGCAACATCACCTGGATTACAGTACTCCTTGGAGATAAGGCTGGTTTGCTTCCAGACCGTGGAAATAAAGTAACACAAAAAAGTGAGTCAAGGGAAGTTTTTTTGTTTCCTGGTGTACATAAAAGTTAGGTTACATTATACTGTAGTCTATTTTGTCTACAATGAACACACTTAAATCAAAAACGATCGCCAAAAAGTGCTAATCATCTTCTGTGTCTTCATTGAGTCATAGTCTTTGCTGGTGGAGAATCTTGTAAACAGCAGTATCTGCAAAGCGCAATAAAGCAAAGGGCGGTAAAAGGAGACATGCCTGTAAAGTGCCTAATGAGGTGGTGGGCACAAGCACTGGCCTTCCCATTTTTCTTCAAAGTAACACTTCCAGGAGCGCTCCCTGGTGGCACAGTGGGTTAAAGCACAGCACTTTGGAGCTATCCACAGACACCACATGAGTTCCAACCGTCACCAGGGAGCTGACCGACAGGGCACCGCAGACCTCTCCTGACCCACCCATGGCTCCCCTCAGCAGTGTGTTTCAGTCGATCTGCCTGTTCTGCTCCCCACTCTTTCTCTGGTGAAACCTCTCATCCCCCACCTCTGGCCTGTACCCCAGTTCTTGTATATATGAATAAATGTTAAATAATCCCCCAAACACCTAAGTCCTTTTGTGTAAGGAAGGGGATTAAAGCAGGCTTTACAGAGGCATTAACATGGTTTAAGCGTTTAAAGATGAGCAGGAGCTACCTGCACAGGTTGGTGAGACTTGGGGTTAAGTATTGGAATGGCATTGTAACAAGAGGGCATAAGGCCTGCAAAGGCTGAAACAGGAAGGCGTATTTGAAGGCTCAATCATGGGCATATGTGAAGCTGAGGGGAAAGCATGAGGAGGGGGACGGTATGAGGAGAGGCAGAGAGTTCGGTAGGGTGCAGTGCAAAGAGCCTGTTTGAGACTCTCAATTTCTAACACATTTCCAATGAGCCTGAGGCTGCCGGCCCATGGATGCTGAGCAGCAAGGGAAGAAAGTGTTTCAGAAAGTTAGAAGGGGCCTTCCTGGTGGCACAGGGGTCAGTCTCAGTGTTACCAAGCTATTGCCACTGGCCACTGACCACCGCCAAGGAGTTCGATCCGGCCAGGGAGTGACCCACAGGTGCAGCAGACCTGTCTTCCCTCTATGGCCCTCAGCAGTGGGTTTCAGTCAATCTGCCTGTTCTGCTGCCCACTCTGTCCGTGGTGAATCCTCTCACTGACCCCCACCTCTGGCCTGCACCCCAGTTCTTATATGCATAAGTGAATAAATCTTAAAAAAAAAAGTCGGAAGTGGCTCATCTTATAGACCGGGCAGTACCAAGTCAAGGTGAGGGCTGAGAAACTCTGCTCGTGACCTGTAGACGGAGGTGTCTTTGGGGTGAGCCATGGCTGGTGGGTCAGAACAGATGGTTGAAAGTTGCTTGCCGGGTGTGGGGAGAGTTTACACCCCAGTCTTTTGAGCACTTGAGTTTTGAAAGGAAGAGAGGTAGGGCGGTAGTTGGAAAAAGCTGATGGGCCTAAGTCTGTAAAAACAAGGGTTTGGAGGCATAAGGAAAGAATGGGGTGACCTGAGAGGGGCAGAGGTGCCAGATTTCGCAAACAAAAATACAGGACAGCCAGTTAAATCTGAATTTCAGAAAACGAGCAATTTTTAGTGCCTCGGCTCCCCACGTTGCCATGCGTCCTGTACTTCGCCGGCGACCCCTCCAGTCCCACTTTTGGGCAAAAGGCTTGCAGCCCCCCGCGCGGCAGGAGGGAGTGTGGCGAAAGGCCTTCCCGGCCGTCCAGAGCGAATCCCAGCCCGCGGGAGCCGTTAACAGGCGGCGAGGAGCGCTCGCCCGCGCTCCCGAGGCGGGCAAAGGCCAGGCGAACGCCGGCCGAAGCGCGGGGCAGAAGCTCTCGTCGGGAAAGTCGGCCCGTCGGGGCTGCGGAGCGTTTTGAACTACGAACCGGCACCGGATTGGCCGCGCCGGCCGGTGAGTCACGGAGCGCTGACCCACGCCCAGCTCTGGACACTGACTCCACGCAAGTCAAGGGCAGCGAGGCAGCCCGGCCCGAGCGCCGCGCCTGCGCCCTGCGCGGCCCCGCCCACCGGGAGG